CCCCCCTCCCCCTTCCCCTTAGCTCAAGGTCTGGATCCGCCACTGAAAGTAGTGTATTTTTAGGGAAAATAATCAGCAAAACTAATCAAAAATTACTTTAAATACGACCCTTACCTACTCGTCAACAGAAAGCCCTTGCTGAATAGTGAATGCAGACTTGGTCAAAGAAAATTTGCGCTGAAAAGAAAACATCAAAATATTTTATATTCAATCGTCACAAAACGTACATCCTTAAAGCTATTTCATTGTTTTAGCAGATTTAACTTACATTTCTAGGGACATAAAGTCAGAATTTTTAGGCAATAATCCGTGATACAGGAAGGTAATAGCCATTCAGAAAACACAGTTAACTCCTAAAATAGACTAAGTATTTAGCGGGGTGTGTTAAGTAAATATTATTTGACAATATGTCACCACATTGACACCTTTACTCAGTTTTACTCACATCTGGGTGCATGAACAAGTTGTTTTGACTCAGTTTTTCAATGCCCTATCATATTACTCATAAAATAGTGTGAAATTTATTAGCAGGGAAAACAAGTAACTTGCCATACTTGTTAGTGCGCACACTGTTCTGCTCCTTGGCTAATCATTGAATAAAGCAGTTTTCATTGGCTTAGCCATCATGTGTTATGAGGCATTATACCATACTCTACAAATATGGTAAGCGTACGCGCGATTTTTTTGGGCGTTTTTATTGTTATTTTAGTCTAATTTTCTAGAGTTGGGGGCGCTTTTAATAAAACAATTATTCCACACGTGCTTGATGGATATGTGGATCCACTCGGCTACCGCCTCGCCGATCCGCAGCTACTTTGACAATGTCATGACGAAATTCATGATCATGTTTCTGGCTCCTCAAGGACTACATTTATGCTAATTTATGCTAATTAGATGCAAAAATAGGTTTTGCAAATGTCTTTGCTCTTAGATTCAAGGTACGGGGACCAAACTTTACACGAAGTTTGCTCTTGATCCCGTTCGTCGTATGACTCAGATTGGTTACCATGGCAACCAGCGATGACGTCAGGATTAACTACCTACTATTTTGGTGGTGGCCATCTT